ACGAAAAAGAGTTTTTGAAAAACAGTAAAACTGAAAATAGCCAAATAAAAAAAATACTTAAGTATTCCTTTATGCATTTTGATACTTCATCCCATACATGGAAACGTGTACGATTACATAAAGTTTAAATTACTTGAATGCATTCTACATATCATAGATTTTCAGTTCCACCCAATGTTTATTCCATGCAGGTATTCGTTTGTTGCTCTATATTTGTAACGGATTTAGGCAAATCAAAGAGAACATTAAAAACAGTTTTTTGTCTAAAATTTTCTAAATATATTTCAAAAGTTCTCATTCATCTCGATCCCAGTCCAGTTCAAAGTCCTCAGACAAAGAGAAATCACAACCTGTACCGATGTGATACTGAGTCTAATTCACGACCTTTGTAGCAAGAGATATGGTCGGAATTTCTTGATAAGTAGTTCATCGCCGCATGAGTAATTTATTTTGATTCTTTGGACACCCAGAGGTATTTAACCCAGGTTTGACGTCGTTACCTTGACAACATTTGACCAAGATTACTAGGCATAGGCCTATCACCCAACGCAGAATAAATGTCTTGGGATACTATTTACTTGCACATGTTTAATGAATTTAACGAATGCATTTGCATTTAAGCAAGTTCCAAGATTAGTAATTATGCAAGGTAACGTGAAAATACCATTAATGTAACACACTATTGTGTCGTAACAATTATACTTCTCAGCTATAGCCTAGGTCGGATAGCATACCGTGTTTTACGGTTATTTCAACAATAACGTCTTAAAACATAATAAAAATAACGTCTAACCTGATCTTACTGTCCAATAGACGATATGGAGAATGCGTTCATGAAGTACAAACCACCCTACCTGAATTGACTTACTATTGTAAATTATCAAAACGCATCAAAGATAAAGGAAAATTAATTTTAACCGCGATATTATCAGTTTCCCCATCGTTCAAAACTTCCCTCCAGCTTACTACAAGGATGCTACTGACTATTGGAGCTAGCAAACACACCATGCTTGAACCGAACATAGACCTGTATAATGGATGTAACAAATTATAGCATTGCAAATAATTAATTGCATTATCACATTACTACACACACTGTTACTATTAGGCCTAACCAAGTAGGAATTAAATAGCGAATTAATAAATTTGTAGTCAGGTTCGACTTTGGAATATTAGTGGGAGAATTAATTTTGACCTGACAAGTTTCGCCTAGTTGGGTACGTACAGTATAGTTAAATCTAGTTGCATATTTCAAGACGAGAACCAAATCGTAATACCAATGCAAGTAGAGGATTTATGCGCTAAGTATTGTATTCTAAACTTCAATAAAATGGTTACACAGCTTCTAAATTTCGAACGTTTGATGTTATACTAAATAAATGTATAAATATACCAATTAATTAATTCATAAATAAATTAATATACCAAATCTATACTATAATACGAGTAACGTTTGCGCACGATGACTTCAAAAACGGCTTCTATGATTTCCTCCAAATTATTAGGAATATCTTAGTTTCCAACTAAAAACAACATCCATTAATAAAATGAATAGTAGTAGAATATTTTACCTCATATTATACACTAATGCTGAACAAAGAGGAAAGTTGATGGGCGTCTGTATTTTTTACGATGCGCCATCGGAATAGGTTTGTTTGGCGATCCCGCGGATTATAAAATATAAACTATATGAATCATTAACAAACAAAGGACTTGAAAATAAACATTTGTAAATAATTATTTCAATGCAACAGTAAAAAAAACGTTCAAAACACATGTAGAGATTAATAGTATTAGATTGCATCCAGTGACGCCATTCCTTAATGTTTTTGATCCATACCGTTTCTGTTCTAATATCCGCGGACGATCCCATTGTTAATTGCGACGTTCCGCGATCCAATGACTAACATGTCGCCACCAGAGAGCGCATAATATTCAAAACTCGCAATAATTCTGGTCAACGGCTGATGTTATCACGAATTTGTAAAGCTTTACAGTATAAAGCTTTAGTGTAGATATTTATAATATTGATCGTTTTTTGTCTGTATGGAAATTATTGGAATTAAGAAAGAAGGGGGAACGTGTACCGAAGAGAAATCAATTGTTTTTCACTACATTTCTCTGAGTTGAGCTGTTTTCCTTGTGTTTACAACTTGCGAAACATCACATTTTCAACAGCTGTCTATTGGTTACTGCCGAAAGTAACATGTTTACATCCGAACATTTTACACTGTCAATAACTTTAAATATTTGTTATTGTTTTATTATCAGTTTCAATTTTGGTATTTACTCAGGGGAGGTATAGAAGAGGCTACGATGACAGCTGTGGGCTTCTTATTAGCTGAGGGAACGCCATTACCGTAATAAAACGGTCAATAGCCATCGGCCTCGGTGGTCTAATGGTTAGCGTGCTGGGCTGATATACTGTAGGTCCTCGGTTCGAATCCTGCTGGTAGCGTTAACTTTTTGTCCAAGATTTTTTTATTATCAGCAAGTTTGGTTGGTTTGGTTTGGTTTGGTTATTACAGTTAAATTTTATTTTTAAGTCATTATAAAATTTTAATTGAGCAATTTCTAGTTTTATTTTAATAAACAGAATTATTTAATTTTTCCGATTACAGTACTAAACTTTTGTTATATTAATTCTTTATCAGCAAGTTTGGTTAGTTCGGTTAGGTTATGATAGTTTAATTTTATAATTAAGAAATAATAAAATTGAATTTGAGACATTTATAATTTTTTTTTGTGAACAGAACAGAACTATTTTTGCGATTAGTAAACCTTCATTGCCAAAGTGCTCCCTACTACAGCGTTGTTCACGGAGGAATTTTGAACTAAATACCTCTTTCGTACCTCCCCTAAGTCAGACCCTTCAATTTTCAACAACAAAAGTAAATATTAACTTTAAATTGAAGGCATAACCTAAAAAAATTTATGAGTTATAATAGGAAACCTATTATATTCTATCAATGTTCTTGGAGTTTGATGTGGCAATTTCTTTATTCTACTTCATGATCGGAAGCATAATTTGGGTCAAAGTAAAACAATTATCAAAAATAAATTCATTTAATAAAAAATGCCTCTGTAGAAATATTTCTGAAATTTTGATTTTAGCTAATTACCGGGGAATAAGCTATTGCCGTAGTACTCATGGTAAGACCTGGACCCGGGGCCGATATAATTTTTCGTTTTGAGGTCCCTAGAGGCCAAAAACACCATCCGTTCAAATTCATATATACAGGGTGATTGATATAAGTGTGCCAGCCGTTTTATTCAAAAAATATAAGAGATATCAAAAAAAGTTAAATGGTAAGTGCCTTGAATTTTTTATTTAAAAAATTGTAGTCAAGTCCAAAAAATTATTTTAGCCCCCATTTTTCCAATACGGCCGCCAACTTTGATTTTTCTTATGGAACACCCTGTATTTTATGATGTATTCTGGTAGAAAATGTAATTTTAAGACGATTTTATTCTTGTAATTTTTTTCATAAACCTAACCGTTTCAAAGATAATAATGGTTAAAGTTTTGAAATTTCTGCATGAGAAAGAGTTTCGATAAAGGCCTAAGCAAGCATGCCAACTGTTTTATTCGAAAACCATTCAAAATTTCACAACTTAAACCATTATTATCTTTGAAACGGTTAGGTTTATGAAAAAAATTACAAGAATAAAATTGTCTTAAAATTACATTTTCTACCAGAATACATCATGAAATACAGGGTGTTCCATAAGAAAAATCAAAGTTGGCGGCCATATTGGAAAAATGGCGGCTAAAATAATTTTTTTGACTTGACTATAATTTTTTTAATAAAAAATCCAAGGCACTTACCATTTAACTTTTTTTGATATCTCTTATGGTTTTCGAATAAAACGGCTGGCACACTTATATCAATCACCCTGTATATATATATATATATATATATATATTTTAAACCGTTTTGTAGAGTTTAAAACAATAAATAATTTAGTATATTGAAGCGCTGTTGTAAGCCTAACGGTCACGGAGAAAATTCAAAAATAGTGTAATTTAAAATTCCTATCTTATTCTTACGGAGAAAATGCAAATTGTTGTAGTTTACTTGTTTATGGTTGGCAAATTTATTTATTTCATCCTATACTATGGTATGGTCAAATTTACCTTCCCCGTGGCAGCAAACCTAAGCACTCGTTAAATCTAATGTTATTTAAATTGGGAATAAATATGACTTATTCATAGAAATATTTTAGTACCTAATAATGGAATCAGACAAGTTGGAATTAGCTTAGTCTGCAGGTTTGCTGCGGCGGAAGTATTTAGTAATAGAATGTATATATTATTTAAACACGATTGTTAGTTGTAAATACCGGGCCAAATAAGGCCAAGCTGTAATTATTCAACTTTTTTCATTTTTTGGAGACAAAAGTTTATAAAGTTTTTGAATGCAAAGCTTCTATTAGTTTACAAACTAAACTACGCGACAGAATGTTTTCCACAAAATAAACTAAAACTCAGAGGTGTAACAGCCTAAAACAACAACGAGGACCGGTAGAGTCACAATGAATGTTTCATAACTCTAAAACAAAACTGTTATTGGAAAAGTTCTCCCTATACTGATACATGGATGTGCAGTCTCTTTCATGATTGGAATTAACTGTTTTATTAAAACCTTTTAATCGCATATTTACTACAAACGAGTGTCTAGATTAAATAGTGTAGTGTCTAAAAATAGTATTAAATTACTTTTGAAAAACACATGTCAAATTAACTTGAAATGTGAAAGGTGATTTCAGGTAAAGGTTGTTAAAGGATCTTACCAGGCATTTCATAAAGGAATAGGAACTAAAGATATATTTTAAAATTAGTAATACATTAATTTATTATTTCCCATTAAATTCTCTTCATCTATATTTGGAATGAACTACCTAAATGAATCTTATCCTAAGCTTGTGTTCATACAAAAACAAGGTTAGGCGGATAACTTGATTGAACCATTGAAATATTTATCAACCCAATCACCCACCTTGATAGTGCCGAGGTCAGATTCCTGAATGGCCAGTACGTGAACATGGCTGAGACCTCGGAAAGTGTTTGGTTTGAGGGCTTGCAGGTCCATGAATGGCAACTTGATAAGTCCCACTGAGTCTAGGCCACTGAAGGCGTCTGCTTCTAGAGTTTTGATCCCAGAGGGCAATAGAAGATGCTCCACATTGGTCAGACCGGAGAACGCCGAAGTCTCTACTTTCTGGATCGGGTTGTTGTTGAGAAGCAACAGTCGAACATTGGACGTTCCAGCGAACGCGTATCCCTCCACCTACGAAAGATTTAGAATGTAATTGTGGTTGGTAGGAATAATACAGTAAGGTACACATTTGTACAAGATAAAAAATTACGATGAAGAAAAATAAGGAATAGAATTCATGCATGAAGAATACAGGAGTAAGTTTGAAATAATCAATGTACTATAATATAAATATTTGAATATACTCATAAGGTCCAATAAAAAAGTATAAATGCAATAACTTATAGCACATAACTATATTACCTTAGTAGGATTCAGCCTAAATTAAATAGAAGCCATTTCATTTTCATTTACACCACTGATATTTTATTAACCCAATAAACGTAATAACGAAAGGTATATATACACTTTTTATTTAGTTACATCTGTATCTCAGACCTAAATTATAGAATTGAAATAATCTTACGTATGACAGTACCCTTCTGTAGAGGTCTTTTTTATAACAGGAACTCGTAATGTCTACGAGATTTGCTTGCCATGAGTTACAGACCAAATTTATTGACGGAAATGAATAAAAGAAACAATGTTGCCACTAAGAAAATTTAAAATAAACCAATTATGCTTCTTACATACTATAACTAAATTTGCTGGATTTGTTTAACAATATAAAACTGATCCTGGTAATCGAATTGCTTATCGGTCAAAGTACCTATGAATTAAAGTAACCAAATATGTAGCAGCGTACGGTACATTTTTTTGTGATATGTGGAAATTGTTACTCTTTTGGAAACAGTACCAAATAATTTACAAGGACGCTATTCGGAACATATTGTTGGCTTTTGCTTACTGCGTGTCGTACTTTAAAGCTCGTAACACTTACCTGATTGGAAATTATGCAGGAGATGGTGACCAAGGGAAACATAGTAATTTATACAGGGTGAATAAAAAGTCAAGACCCCCCCTCTAATATTTTTCCAAGTAAATATACAGAGATATCCTTTTGGTGGTCAAGCAATCTTAGCAGGAAGTTTCATTTTATCATTTTGAAATTTTTGAGTGTCCAAAAGGGGGATTTGGGGGCAACTCAAATATTTTAAATGTAAACCCCCTTCAAGTTACACCTCATTTTGAAGTGTTAACAAAAACTTAAAGAATGGTAAAAACTAGAGGTCGCTATCTCTTCTCTATCCAAAATGGTAGCCCGTCAAATGTTGTGGAAAATCATCGGTAAAATTGTTAATATTGGCTGCCATTTTGGATAGAGAAGAGATAGCGAGCTCTGGTTTTCACCATTCTTTAAGTTTTTGTAAACACTTCAAAATGAGGTGTCGCTTGAAGGGGAATTACATTTAAAATTTTTGAGTGTCCCCCAAAAGGGGGGATTCGGGGGACAACTAAAAATGTTTCAATAGAAGCCCCTATCAAGTGACACCTCATTTTGAAGTGCTTAAACAAACTCAAAGAATGGTGAAAACCAGAGCTCGCTATCTCTTCTCTATCCAAAATGGCAGTCAATATTAACAATTTTACCGTTGATTTTCCACAACATTTGACGGGCTACCATTTTGGATAGAGAAGAGATAGCGACCTCTAGTTTTCACCATTCTTTAAGTTTTTGTTAACACTTCAAAATGAGGTGTCACTTGAAGGGGGTTTACATTTAAAATATTTGAGTTGCCCCCCAAATCCCCCCTTTTGGGGGACACTCAAAAATTTCAAAATGATAAAATGAAACTTCCTGCTAAGATTGCTTGACCACCAAAAGGATATCTCTGTATATTTACTTGGAAAAATATTAGGGGGGGGGTCTTGACTTTTTATTCACCCTGTATATCATAAGAAACTAGATTTTGTCCTTAAAACAATGGTGCAAAGATATTTCTGCTTTCACAAAAACTTAATAAAGTACGATCGTTTGAATTAAATTACTAGTACCAAATTCTTATTAAATGCCTGTTGTCTGCTGGTCTCTGTCGCCATTAATGTGAATTGACGAATTTTTAGCTGTTCGAGAAGTTATGTTATGTTATGTTAGAACAGTGTCAACATGTTGTTTATTCGTTTATTTAAGTCTCATTACGGTAGTTGTTAGGGATAATAAGCCTAATTAAATAGGTTAGCACTGAATAAATACGATATGGATTTATATCACTCCACGGTGACGAAAATTAACCATTGTTGTGTATTAATGTAACCAATTAAATCAATCCGCAGCATTCCACCAGTCTTTGAAGATATAGAGAGTGTGAAAGTACAGAACAATTTCTTAAATTTAATTTTTATCCTTATGTGAACTTTAGATGGCAGGTGTTTGTTTAATATTTGAAGTGAGTTATGTTGAAGCAATAAGGAAAGACGAGTTTAATATTTTACAGTTGTATGTTGATCACGGAGTTTACAGCCATACAAGATGTTGTGGTAGCCTTTTGTGTGGTAACGAGTTAGTGGTACACGACTAGGGTGGGAATTTTCAATTTAGGTGTGGGAAATAGTTATTTGTGCAACTAGTGAGAAAAGTGAGCAATTGACTCACTCGAGAGAAATCCTTACTCACGAGCCGTAGGCGAGTGAGGAATTGTTTCTCGAGTGAGGCAATTGTACTTTGAACTCGAGTTGCACATTATACTTTTCCTACCGTTACCATAAAACAAATAAATTGGTGAAGAAACATAACCTATTTTTACACAGAAGTGAACTTTTAATATAACATTTAACGTGAAGTGACAAATACAACAGTACAACAGCTGACCAGCTGATTTACAGCCAGTGCTGCCAACGTATTTCGCGCTCATACGACGTTGCCTGCATGTTACGCGTTCACTATTTCGTGCCTTCACATTGCAAATCTGGAGTGAGACAAAGTAATTAGAGTGAGACAATGTTAACATTGTCTCACTGATGAGCGAATTGGCCACTTTGCTTTCTCAAATCAGTGAGAGAACATGTACATTGTTAGATAACTGTAGGAATAGGTACGTTCCGAGATGGAATGAAAAAAAGTAAAGTGTATATTTGTCGCGAGTAAGAAAGGTACCTTTTTTTAAAAAGGCCAAACTTTCGTTGCCTGACATATTTTATATTGTGGTCATCCTTTGGGCTCCACCGCCGCTACAGAAATTTCTGCGCCATTATTTCGGGTTGGCTTCAATTAGTATTGTAGATTAGAATATTTTTTTGCAGGGAAGTGTTTGTAGATCACTTGGCCTACAGTGAAATTAAAAGTTCGGGAAACGCAAATATAATAGAGGACGATTGGTAGAGGGGCAATTGGTGTTTGAGGTTAAAGTATTGTCAGAGTGACAAGAGAAATAATTATCTATTGCATAATTATCCCTTATAAACTGCAGCATCATAAGAACTCGGCCTGGGGGCTGTGATCCTTTACTGGAGTTCCAAGGGAGCTATCTCTTACCTCAGTAGGATCTGTGCTGTCAAGCAGAGTGATCTGCAGTATCCTCAGAGTGCAGACCAGCTCCTTAATGCTATGTCAGTATTATGAATTCTCATTTGCAGCTTTACACAGTTCCATGCTTTGTATGATAAAAAAACATAAATAGTCATGACTATCGTACCTTTTGTATGTTATTGTGCCCCAGCAGTATAACTCATAACTCATTTATTAAACCAAAATAACAAATACAAAATTTGCATTGTTCATATCAATTAATAGAACTAAAATTAAAATAAACAATAGACAATGTTGCTTCAATAAAACAATACCAATTACTTCTTACAAAAAAAGAAAAAAAAACTAACTAACTAAACCCATTAGCGACACAATCTCGAACTGTAGTAACCCTTGGCCAAGAGTATTTTTTTGATTTGCTTTTTAAAGCTGTTCAAGTCCGACTCCAGCTGAAGGGAGGGAGGGAGGAGATTAAAAAGTTTAATGCCATTGTAATGAAAGTGTCTCTTGAAAAATGTAGTTGAATGAGATGGCAATTTAAGATGAGAATTTTTACGTAGTGAATAGTAATGTGTAAGTGAAAATTGGTATTGGTGTAAGTTTTTTTTTTATGAAAATCAAAGTTTCCAAAATGTATATTGAGGGAAATGTTAAAATTTGTGATGAAATAAAGTATTGCCTGCAAGATGTTCTTCTTTTAAATCCAAAGACTGCCCTAACTGCCCTCTTCTGGAGTCGGAAAAGGAAAGACGTTCTCCCACACTCACACCCCCACACCGGCACTGCGTATATCAGGTGCGGGAAAATAAAAAAAAACATAAGTAGTCATGCCTATCGTACCTTTTGTATTTTATTGTGCCCCAGCAGTATAGCAGTGATGTTCTGAAGCCCTGCGAACGCGAACTGCGCCACCGTAGTGAGCGGGGTGTGTTGAATGCTCAACTCTCTCAACCTCGGTAAACCTCTAAAGGCGAAGGGTTTTATAGTGGTGATGTTGTTCCCGTCCAGTGACAGTTTCCGGAGATGACGGAGTCCCGTGAACGCGTCACTTCTGATCACCGGGAAGTGGTTCTTAGTGAGGGACAGATGCTCGACCGTAGGAGGCAACATCTTGAGAGGAATCTCCGTCAGGCCGCCGGTGTTGCATAGAACCTATAACATCAAGTTTCGAAAGTTAGGGAAATAGGTTGATTAAAAAAAAAAACTATTCAGCTAGAATAACTTTTGGGATGTGCACATCTTTTATTACTCACCCAGTTTTGGCGTATAGGTCTGCACAAATACTAAATATGGTTTTAAAAGGCCATTTCCCAGATCAAATAAAATTGGGTGCAATGGTAAGTAAACTCTCAAATCGAGATATTTAAAATTACTTGTGTTTCTCGGCTAACACAATACAACTATTGGAACTCAGATGGTAACATATTATCACTAATTGATATTTGACGTTCCAATAGCAGGAAATGAATTCCAATTAAACAACACATTTTTTAATGGTTCTTTTACACGTGATTCTTGAACTGATACTCTGTTTTTTAAGTATTCAGTGAGTCAATAATAGTTTAATACAATCAATCCCCACTAAAGAAACAGTGAAATAAAAAATTGAATTTAAGAATATTTCTGAATCAATATCCAAATAAGTAAAAAAGAAAAAAAAGCAGAATTGTGAAAAGGTAGCATTTTATATTTTATTGTTTTTATTCAGTTCTAATCAAGTACGTAATTAGATTGTACATACGTATTAACATAACGTGAACTAATAAAAAATTATTTCAAGATTTTACTGCACTGAAACACCGTGGATTTGTGGGGTAAAACCATTCATACAGTATGTCCCTAAAGATTTGGCCTACTTTTCAGCCACGTTGAATGTGGCCATCTTCAGAGAACCAAAAGGAGCACAGTAGTATCTAATGTAATACTGGGTTATTTGTTTACTGTTCATACCAAAAGCTAATTCACATTCTTTAAGCTAAGCCAAAAGTCACAAGGTTACATAATATGCAATAGCATACAAGTAGAAAGAGTTTTTAGATCAAGTATTGCAAACGAGGTTGTAGAACTTGTAAAATACCTGAGACTGAGAGAGGCAGATGCATTCTGGGGGACAGGTCACTGAAGAGCATAATTTGAGTACGTAGACTAGGAATACGGAAATCGCCAACACTGGCTTCATACTGGACTCTGTAATCATACAGGGTGAGTAAAAACTACTGGGTATAGAATCACCTCGTGTTCTTTGACATCATACAATATATTTATATATTTATATTTAAACATCAAAATTAATCAGTCTTAAAGATGTTATAATCCTTCAATATTTTAAGTGTATATTTTTTCTGTTTCATTGGCAACCTTATTTTTTAGTTTATTTTTATAAATAAATTCTACGTTTGAAATAGTAACGAGCTTCTTGATGGTAATTATAAATGCAGATTGAGTAACGAATGAGGTAGTATGCGACAGATTAATCTTAAAAGTAGTTTGTAGTGTGGGACTGAGATATCCTGAGATTCGCCAAAAGTGTTTAGGATAAGCGCCATTTATTTCTTCGTTTTGTTTTTGCCAACAAGTACAAGGAATCAAACCTGCAGATTTCATTTCAGTGATAAACTAAAATAAGGTACTTCAAATTTGAGTACTGATACGTTCACTAACCTCTGAACATGGTAAGCAACTTTAGGTTTGAGTCTAAACCCAGCTGATCTTGGTCAGTGATAAAGATGACATATAATACACTCAATGTGCAAAATTAATCTTAAATACTCATCTTGATGTCTTGCCTTATAATTATAACCTTTAGAAAGTATTCCAGTATATTACAGTTGTGCAGTTGTGGATAATGGTCTTTACAAACTAACACAAAATTTGGTACTTTTTGTCTTATAATACACGTCCTAACGATCTTTCAATTCTGAATTCAACACGAGGCCCATCCACAAATTATACATATGTAAAATATCAATACGAAGGAGAACGGTGAGGGTAAGTCAGAGTTGTAGAGGTGGAGGGTTAGGGCTGGGGAAGGGAGCCACACAAAGTGGACAAGTTGTCCAGTTAATTATCAACTATTGTCCCACAGAAGACAAACACCACAACAGCCACAGTGTCAAATGTCAGATGATTGCTGTTCGTAGCCTACTTCACAGAAAATGTCCCTTGTGTTCGTTAATTATACTGTAAAACTTGTGTGATATTTAGACTTTTAGAACTTTATTTTTGTCAAGTTGATATTGGACTGTGTGTCATTGTAGCAGACTATTACAAGCAACATAGTAATATCAACACCCCCCACCCAAAAAAAAAAAAATAACAAAAAAAAACAATTTCTATTTTTGTAAAATTACAAATTTGTTATTTGCCCTAAAAAGAGAAAGTATGCGAGTTAATTACTCAACTCTTAGTTACAACAACAAGTAGCCTATGTGGATTCTAAAGCTCTAGTGTAAAAGTAATGGAGTTTTATGTGTGAATACTAAAATTTTTATGATTACAATTTGACAAAAATTAAGAAAACCCTTTATCTTGTTTAATGTCCGTTTTGCAATCTATTAAATATGTTTATTATGTACTTCATCCCCTAAAATATTATTTATACATAAAGAGCTAACATATTTTATCTATAAAACTTACAATATAGCTGTTAAATATAGATAAATAGTATCTGGACCGTGGATTGAAATAGTGCGTTTAGATTGTTGGGTTTTGTATCCACGCATTTAAAGCTCCAGAAATCCGACCATGATTTCCCGTGACAAATGTGGTTAGATAAATCCTTGGATCAAACTGGCTGTAGGTTTCAACGTAGATTACCCAATAAAAGATTGCATATGAATTCAAATCTATGTCAATTATCGATTGTCATCTAGTTGAACAAGTATTATTATTGATTTACGTTGTACGGTGTTATATTTTACAGTTTTTTTATTGAATGTTTTTATTGTACGAAACTATGTAAAGAAGATTAAACTAGGGGACCAATTTTAAATCGTGCAATATAACTTACAGTGAAGCCCTAAATAAAAAAAACTTCATATTTACTCGTATAACCAAGAGGGACCACATGACTGACTAAATATTTTGAAAAAACAATTATGATTTTTGCTTTGTTTTTTGAAATTACATTAGTAAATCATTTGATCGTCAATAAACTCATTTAAAAAAATATACATTTTTATATACTACACAATTACATATATTAAAGGAACTATTGAGTATTTCAAGTTGACTAATTAGTAAATATGTGTCCTTATATCAATCATTTGTTTGTTTTCAAAATTTAATCTATAATTGGTTTGAATTACTGCATTTTCAACCAAATTGTCGAATGTATACATAAGAAATACTCACAATTAGTACTCTCAAAACTAATTACTTTTGAATAAATATGTAAAAAAGCTCAGATCCGAAAGTAAGGAAAGTATGATACATGCCAAACAATAATGTTCTTTCACCTGATAATCACCAGGATAACAATACGGTCTGGAGTAGTTATGTGATGACAATGACAGGCGGACTAATGAGAATCATGCCACAAATATAACTTGTGTTGTGGCAACACTAGGCCTGTTGTACCTTAAAATACAACCTCACCATGTTCTTCAGGAATTAAAGAATCGTATAAGTATACCGATGCGTCAAGTCATTTTATTTTAATACTAAAAGATACAATTCTCCCATATGGAGTAAAGGTATCCTGCTTTTTTCTCAAATAGAACAAATTTGAGTGTTACCTTTGACTATTAATACAACTAGACATTCCAGCCCCATGTTAAGGCCAGATTTTTTTTCAAAATCGTTGTAGTTGATGTGAGGTACCAACAGACTGTGCTGATCCAAATTACTAAATTCTGTCGAGTACACAATTTTTTTTACCAAGTCGAACTTAGGAAATTACTTATGGTGAGCTATAACAACTGTTACTAACGGTCTTTTTCAACACATATAAACGCTCTAAAGAATGAAATTATTTTAGTGAAGTCAACTTTTGTAGTATTCAAGCTGACGTACTTCAAGTCGTCGCGGCTCTCACACAACAAATCCGAATAAAATAAAAGATAGGGAGTGTATTTTAGTATTTGAAATATTGTTACTTTTTTGTATACTTATAGTGTAAATACATAAAAGTAATTCTGAATGAATGCATTATGAAACTAACACAAACATTTTCTATATGGATTGAAAAAATATTCCGATATTATCATAATGATAGGGATGAGAAGCTAGTTAATTATTTAAACGTTAAATTTCCAAATTAAAAACATTTAAATGCATTATCATTTTTTTAAGACACTCGGTAATAGTACTATGAGATAATATTTCATTATCTTACAAAGAAAAAAAACAACTTTATGAAGTTATCTGCCGATTATGGGTTACAATGATAAATGAACACTCAACGCATAACTGAAAAAAAAAAACAAGAAGATTAACACCAATAGTTATAGATAATTACCTACGTTGTGGATGTCTTAAATTGAAGTACGTTGTGCCAAAAATCATCATAGAGCCGAAATACGTGAGCTTGAATACTAAAAAAGTTGAATCTACTAAATATTTTTCATTCTTTTTAGAGCGTTTGAAGTCGAATGTTGTTTTTTTTTTTATAAATTATTTTATGATTTTTAGTGACTATAATTTGTTATATAATATTTATTTTGTTTTGAAGATATTTTTTTTCTGTATCAAAAACGTCACAAAACAATTATTATTATTTTTAACTGCTTGAGTCACCTGATCAGGTTACATAATCAATGGTTATAATAATTTTAATGACAGTTTATATTTACAAACCAATATAAAACAATTTATTAAGAACCCTCGCAATAAATAAGGCAAAATTATCACTGGGATGTAAACTAAACTGATGAAAACTTCCACATATAGTAGTAGCAAAAGGTAGTGTTGGCTTTACACAACGTATGTCCAGTGGATTCTTTTAATTTTCCTGTTGGAAATAATTTTACTGATACTTTGAACCCATATAATTAATACCTAAAATATAAATCATTGTTTATTATTTACAGATCGCTGGAGTATCAATGGCCTACGCAATGAGTAATTAATTAAAATAATTTATTAAGGGTTCATGGCAATAAATAGTTTATCATTCATTATGAAGCAACTGTTTCATATAGAACTGCCTGTAGCTTCTATTGTTCAAACTAACAGCTGTAGGAATATTAGTTATTATTATTATTTATTGACTTCTCTGCACAAATATAAACAAAATAAACGTTGTATATTTGAGGTTTTCAGCATTTTTCACGAAATAAATATTACTTTTAAACATAGTGCTATATATGGTACCAAATAGAAACTGCCCAGGTTATTTTGGGGGTGGAACCACGCTGATCGGTAAAAAATCACAGAGAAATTGGTGAACATACATAGAAAAAAAAGTGTCCACAAACGAATAGAGAACCCTCTCTTTTGTTGGTAGTGAGGAAGACGGTTTAAAATGAAGTTTAACGTTTAATCATTCAGATTGTTTGTACGGTATGCTACAATTGTGCATCACAGCTATAATTAGACCAATACCCAGGTCATTAGGGATACACGTGCGTTGTGGTCAGCCAGGTGTATAACACGTGCTGGTTACTGTACACCATGTATATACAGGACCAACAAAACGCTGGTGACTCTTTTTTAACATAACAATATCGAAAATATACAATAGTGTACAACTTTATTTCTTCACCCAAAAATTAAGCAATTTATGGATTGGTTATTGAAGGCCCTGTTATCTTTAAAAAAATGTGCCATCTGAAAGAAATAATATATTCTTAAAGAAATTGTAACTTTCTCCTATGCTTTCAAATTGAGCATTTTGGAGCATGGTTGCTCAAAACCTCTTTTATGTCCATACAGGATTACTAAAGACCTGGTGGTCCATTTTGATTTTGGAGCAAACAAAATATTTATTTTACCAATCTTCATTTCATATTTACTATTGTATTAATGAACTGATATTTGCCTTTGAGCTGACATTCATAACAGCATCAATATCTTATTCTTAACTAACTAACGATTAACGAGCGAATACTTCACCATGATAATTTTCCCTACACCTGGTTTTAAATTATAATTTATATATATTTTGTTAAAATATGGATGGATTCATAAACTTTTTTTCGATATATAAACAAATAGTAAAGTAACATAAACTTGTATAAAGTATGCAA